CATTTCTGGAGTTTCTCCACCTCTGCTGGGAGGAGATGAGACCCCAAATTCTGCTCAGGGGTTCTGAGGTTTCTCAGCTCAAACTGCTTGAGAATATTGAGGTGAGGGTGACCTTGAGCTGCAGCCACACCTCGGTGGATGCTCTGCCTCTGACCCCAAATTCAGCTGCCACATCCCAGAGCTGTCCTTGGCTTTCCAGATGAGTAACTGCACACTGAATGGAAATACAACCTATAAATCCAGGCAGTTAACTTATTCATTGTGACAACTTTATTTGTTTAACTTCCGTGGGTAGTGTCAAATGAGATATTAGGAAGCCTCATGCTTTTGCAAACGCATGAAACGAAACTTCCCTGAAGGGCTTTCACTGGAATTTGCTATAATTAGGAAAAATGAGAGTATAGCCCCCAAAGGAAAATAGAGGCACACAGCACAGCCTCGGCCYAAAACCCATCCTGAAATTCAGCTAAACCAGCGCTTTCACATTAGGTTCATTCAAACATTCTTAGGCACAGGATTTTTGAAGGAGTGCTTTAGGCAGCACAGAGAAATTGGGGAATAAATCCACATGAATGCTGTCTGAGATTTCAGCTCAGCTCCTCTCTGACCCACAAACTCTGCTCTGACAGAAGGGTTTTATGTGCCAGCCCCACTGCTGCTCTCTGTGCTTTGAAGGTGTTGGTGTGGATTTGCATGAAGATTTTTCAGCTGRAAGGCAGGGTAACAAAATTATTGCCTAGTCGTAGTGATGTAGAATATCAGTTAAAGGATGTGTGCAGAGATGCATGAGAATTTTACTTCAGGAAATGGGTTAACTAAGGCCCTTCCCCGCCAGGGTGATTTTTAACAAAGGAAATTTTCCAGGTTGTAGAGCAGAATTCACCTAATTATCACAGTTGGTAGGGATGATGTCATCATCTGGTAGCTAAAATAGGTTATTCCGTTGCATAAGGCATTTATTTTTACATATTTCACTCAACTTCCATTGTATTTACAATCATGAAGATGAAGTTGACTGGGTTTGTTGTTTTGTTTTTAAAGTGCACATAGTTGGAGTGGAGAAGATAGTTTGGAGATCCAGATATTCYTCTTCAGCAGAACTGTACATTTTCTTGACATTTATGGACATTTTCTGATCCCTTAACCACTTGTTCTTAACTTTCATACACCTGCAGCTTTTACAGTGCTAAGAATTAAAATTATCTGTTTATTCTCTGTTAGTTCTTAGAATAAGAATTCCTTCACTTGTAGTGTCAGATCAATATGAGGAATTCTATTGATTTGTTTTCCTTTGCAGTGTAAAACCCTGTCTGGGATTTGTGACCACATCATCTCACTCTCATCTGACTCCCTGGTGTCACAGTCAGCCCATCTCGAGGTGGTTCATCTCACCAGCATCATGCCCAGTGAGGGGTTGGTAAGTGGCAAAGCAATTCAAAGTTTAACTTTTTCAATGCAGAGAAGCCTCAGATCTTTAGGGTGATTTCATTTATCAATTTATCAAGAAATCAAGAAGTATTTTCACGCTGTGTCCTAATATTTGTAGCAAGCTGGATCAGATTTTAGAAGGTGGTTTAATTGGCATTTATCTAAATAAAGGAATTGGTTTGGTTTTTGGTTTTTTTTTAATTAAAACCTGTTTTACCTAGGGCTTCCCATGCAATTGTATGAGCAGGTAAATCTGTGACCCTTTGATGGCCATATTGCAGTTTTTGGATTATACTGAAATAACCCCAAATGCAAACCCATAGATCAAATGAATTAATGTCATTAACGTATTTTCAAAATGGTTAGTGGAAAGTTTGTGTCTTGGACTTGCATAAATGTAGCTAATATGTCTCCCGAACTATGAATTCAAATAAAACTTTCCAAGGTATCATCCCAGGAACAAAATAAATCCCTTTTATTTGTAAATTGTTGCTCCCTGAGCAGCCTGGCTGGATGGCTCTGGACATCCCAGCTGCTCTGCATTCATGGTGGTCACAGCAGAGAAATCTTCTGCACAGAGAGTTTTGTAATAATTTGACTACAGCTTTTAAATATCAATATACTGAGGGTTGGTTTTTTGTTTTTTTTTTGACAATGGATTTGTGTGACGTTTTAGTGGTCAGTGGGTAAAGATTCCTGGTTCCTCTCACCAATCCTTTACTTTACAACCATTTGATACTGGTGGGCTGTAGGAACACAGGGATTGTGTTTGGGAACCTCAGATCCCAATAAAAGCTGCAGTGGAAGGTGGCCCTGCAGGCACTGGGATGTTCTTGTTTGCTTTCCTCAAGAGCCAGGCTGCTTTTCCCAGCACAGCCTCCCAGACCACCTTCAGCTGCCTTCTCAGAATTATTTTTATTTTCACTTTTTTGCCTGGAGAGTGATTCRGGAATGTTGGTTCTGGGTGGAAGGAAGAAATCGGAGGAGGAAAAAAGGGGGAATTGGGGAGTGAAATTGGCAGCCATGAGGCTTATCTGCAGAAAATCCCACAAATGGCAAATCAAAATCCATTTGAGTGTCACTCTACACCTTGTGGCACGTTTCCTGTTTGTAATCCAGCGTGATTTACAGATTTTCAATTTCTSTTAGTTGAGACACTTTGTGTTATTTCAACATCTCCCTCTTTGTTCTGACATTGAATAGMAACGAACATCACATGCAAATGCTGTCAGAGTTACAAGGGCATAATTACTCGAGGTATGCATATTAATCTGRGAATGACACATTTGAACAAGATGAGGGGGTGTTGTGTGACTGCACAAGTTTACTTTGTTCTCAGGTTGATTTAGCCAACAGAGAACATTACCGCAGCACAAACCGCGTTTAATTTTRATTCCGTTTCACCACAGATGCTCAGCCCAGTGTGCAATCCTGAGCACAGATACCATTTCCTCGCTGTGCTGCCTCATCCTTATGGCCAAACGTGCTCCCTTTATGGCCCATTTCCCCTCCAGCTCTGATTTCTGGGTTAGGGCAGGGCACCCAGCAAATACAGGTCGGTGCATTGGCAGGAGAAAACGCYGTGAATGTCCCGGTGATTTGGACTTGCATTAAAACTACTGCACCCTGCAGGCCAGCCCTCTGCAAGGCTGTGCTTTCTGTGCTGAAATGTGATGTATTTCTGCTGGTCTAATTAGGGGAGAGTTCATTAGCAGTGCTGGAGAGGAGGGGAGCACAGAGATGGATTTTTTGTGGAGCAGAATAAGCAGGGTTTGGGTGTTGTTAATGCTTCCCATGCAGTGCTGGCTCTGCATCCAGGACAGGGATGGGCTGGTGGAGGACAGGAGGGATGGAATCTCCTCCAAAAATGGCACATCCTGTGGGGAACTGAGGATTCCCAATGTGCAGCCTGAGGCAGGGCAGGAATTCTCGGCAGGAGCCACCCATAAAGTGTTGGAGTGTGATTCCAGCTCCTGAGTGACCAAGATGGGAGCTGCTGGCTGAGATTGGGGCTGTCCTGTGGCTCAAATTCCCCTTTTTCCCAGCAGAATCTCAGGCAGCCAGGATCTGGAATGATCCTAGCTGGGTGGACTCTGGGTGTGGAAGAATCCCTGTGTGGTTCTCCATCCACAATGAGCCCATGAGTTAAATCCAACAAAGCAGCAGTGAGCGGGCACTGCTGACAGAGGACATGAGACAAATACTGCAATCAAAACACCCTGACAATTTTTCCCCTTTTTCCCCTTTTTTTTTTCTTTTTTTCCCTTAGATGAAGTGAAATCACAGTGAATGAGTGAGTTTTCTGTGCCTAATTGTGAAGGCGCTGTAACGTGTGAGGTTGGAAAGTTCCTTGTAATCAATTTTGCTGACWCTGTGTTCTGTTTGGAAGAAAATATGAAAAAAAGGGACTATAAATGGGAATAAAAGAAAAATCATGTGAAAAGGAAAAGAAAACATTAATCAGAATCAAATATAGAACAGARTAATGAATTACAAATGGCTTTCTCATGATTGTATAGCGGATTTTTTCCACAGGATATCTGCTCCATTCAAGAGAAAAATGAGCACTATTCACTGAATGGAAAGTATTCAGAGTTCCATTTTTATCCTTATCATTCAGTGTAGGGGTTGAGGCCTGATTTACCACACTTCAGCTAAGCTCTGCAGTCCCTGGAGTTACTAATTTCATCGTGAGTTGTTTTATTTATTTTTTATATGGCCTTACTGAGTGCCTCACAGACACTAATTAATTCATCCTCACAACACACTTGTGAAAAGGATACTGTAATTTTAGTTTTACAGGTGGGAACCTAATGCACAGCAGTTGGTGTCAAAATCACCAAAAATGTGTTTTTCAGGAGCCGCTTACTGTACAATTTTTCAGAACATTTGTTACCTTTACAGCATAAATTTAAAACACAGTCTCTCTTGGGTTTAAGTGTAGCTCKGATTTTTCAGAGCTACTGAGAACAGGGTTCATCCAGGGTTGGCACCTAGAAAACAAGCACAATTATTTGCCAGTGGAGAAAMTTGTGTTGCAAATTACTCAGATTTATGAGAGAGTTCATTTATCTGGAATGATATTCCTCTGACTAAATTATGAATGTTGCCCTATTTTCAAAACTCCATTTGCAAAATTTTTATTATGTGCCTTCTAATTTCTTCCCCAACYAAGCCAGGAATCCTATTGACATTGCATAAGCTCGCACATAAACTGAATTAATTTCCAGGTCCAAGTCCACGCCGTTGCTGTGTGGAGTCAGAGCTCCTGCAGGGCASTGTCTGTGTGTTTAATTGTGTAAATAAATTCTGGATCATAAAGCATTTTCACGAAGGGACTCTCACTTTGCARTGTGCATCTTCAGTTCTAGCAATTTCTCTGCTTTTACGAGCTTTATAGCCATCGTTTGTTCCTTTGTCCCTCTCTAGAATCCTTTCTTTTACATTCAGCTTTATTAAAAGCAGCATTATCTCCATCCTTCCCAGGACAGCTCTCCATGCTGCACTTCCAGGGTTTTTTGCTGGACAAAGGGATTTGGTTTGGGAACATGGTTTGGGTTCTGTTCCAAGTCCTGGGGGCTCTGTTTCCATCCTGATCTCTGCGGGTGTTTSTTGGCCTCCAGAAATATATTGAGTTTTTTCCTCTCCTTTTCCATTCCTTCCCCAGCTCCACTGGTTAAATTGGTTCCTCCTTTTCTCTATTTTGCCACTGATTTTTTAGTGGTAAATACTGAAACCCCCTCCATATATTTTCTGTTTCATTTTGAAGTAACTTTAGGGATTGTAAAGCACTTTTTCTCCTGAATTGTAGCACTGGGTATGGTAAAACCATTTATATCTGAAGTGCACAGCATAATCAGTATGAGCAAGATGTCTGGAAGGCAAAGCTTTGTTTCAAACAATCAATTTGACAAACTTCAAACAAATGCCTGTACTGAAAAAGTATTAAATTGTGAGAATCACCGTTAGCTCTGACACAACATGCTCATATAAATTTTTATGAAATAGAATAGAATAAAATAACTTCTGGATTTAAGAAAATTRCCTCCCCACTTTAAAATTTTTGGCTTGATGGATCCACAATAAGCCCTTGAGCCAGGAGTTTGGGTTCCTGGTGGCAGTTCCTGAGCTTTCTGCTGAATCCTTGGGGGTGAGGGTTGGTGAAAGGATGGGAGAACTTTGCTGTGATTTCCCTCATTCCATGCCCAGAACCAGCTTTGGGGCAGTTTTGCTGTCAGATAAACAGGCAGCATTTTATTGGAGATGTTGGATATGGAGATATAGAATGGGATCATAAAATGGGTTTTGAGGTTTGGGGCTTTTTCTTCCTCCTCCTGCTCTCAGATGATCAGGGATTGTCCAGAGTGGGAGATTATTACAGCCAGTATTATTTCAGACTAAACTTTTTTTTTTTTTAATCTTCTGAACTTGATGTCCAGCCACATATTCTGAGATACTGCTGTGTAACATGCAGCTTTAATCTTATTTGATGGGATTAATGATTCCTCTTAARCAGGAGATTCTGAACAGGGAAGCAGTTGAGGTTTTATTGTTGGGGTTTGTATCTTCTGATGCCTGAGGAATGTTTTGCTTCTTTCCTTCTGGAATAGAGGAGCACTTTTATTCCTCTTCCTTTCTCTTTTTTAATTCCTTTTCCCTCTTGTGTCTGAGGTTCCCACTGCTGATAGAAACAGTCTAATGTGGCACAATTTAATTAAGATGTACACTGCTAATATCCACAGCTTTCTTAATTTTTCTGCAGAGGGAACTTTTCCTGTTTCATTCTAAAATTTTAAGGAAAGCAAAGATTAGGGAAATAAAAGTTTTTATGAAGCCAGCTGTTGGAAAAACAAAAAAAAGCTGAACAAACAGCCAAGCAGTGGGATGCACAGACCTTTCTTTATTAAGGAATATTCTTTTATCCAATGTACAGCCACTCTTTCAAACAGTGCTTCTCTCTCTGTGGTGTTTGTAATTTAAGGTGATGGAAGCCAATCTCTCCAATTTTCACAAGAAAGGAATTGCAAGAAAGGCGAGAAGGAAAAGTAGAATTCGAAGGCAGCTTTTTTTTTTTTTTTTTTKGTGGGAATATGGCTGTCCTAAAACTGTCAGGGTGTTCATCTAATTATTTAGAATTATTTTTAAAGGCTTGCAGAAACTTGACAAATTTCCATCATGCTTGACATACAAAGACTCTCATAGCCTAAGAGCCAAAACAAAGTAAACTCTGCTTATGCAGGAGAATAAGAAAATCACTGGTCAGAAGTATTTTGGACATTTTCTTGCAGGAAGGAAAACAGAGGCATTTAAATTTGAGCAAAGGACTGCAACATAKAAGGCAGAGCAAAACATTATTGAGAAGGACTTTTCAGTGGTATGAAATTGCAACAAAAAACCCTTTCAGCCACCTTCTTAAAGCACTACCATGACATTTGTTTAAATGCATCTGTGTAACTTTGATGGTTGAAAGGAGATTAAAGAACCATTTTTTAATGTTTGGGGTGAAAGATCAAGGAGWGTAACAGCTTTTCTGGTCGTTTGTGGCGTTACAAATCCACGTCTTTGCTGTCACTGCTTCCTTKTGCTGGAATAATTGTTGACACTTAAAAACACGCTGCTGTCATTACAGCCTGCTTAATTAACCAGACGAGGCTGCAAGAAAATTTTCAAGAATTCCCCTGACAACTGGATATGCTGTTTTCTGGGGAAAAGTCTCTTCAAAATGGGATTTTAAATGGCTGATGCCTTCCCATATGTTTTGAAAGGTCAGATTTTAATTAAAAACCTTTAATTCACTTTGTCACTGGGGGACAGTGGCAGAGTTGCTCAGAACCAGTCAGGTTCTTGATATAACGCCTTAGAAACATTTCCTTGTTCTCTAACATAGATCAGTGTCATTCTTCAGAGTTTCATGTCTGTTACTAAAGAGCAACTCTTTATTTCTAAATGTTGACCAGTCTGATAATTTTAATTTTTTACTCRAAGTTTGATGCAAGTGAGCCCCTTGAAGTTTTTAATTTTTATCCATAAACTATTTTGTGTCKATATATGTATATATAGGCAAATTAAACTTTTGAAATACAAAATATGTATGCTTAAGACATATCTACCTTATATAAAATAATTTGAATTATGAGTATATATATATTATACTTTATATATAATAGTATATATATATTATACTTTATATATAATATATATATTATACTTTATATAATATTATATAAAGTAGAAAATATAGCAAATTTTTACTTTTTTTACACAGAATAATCTTTCAAGCTTTTCAGGTAACGGATATACCAAGGGGATACTCTGCCCTGTCATGGTCAACAAAAAACAAACTCATTATTTTTCTTTTGTGAAAACAGAATTTTCTTTTTGAGGACAAAAGCTCTGCATAGGATAATTAGAAAGCTATGAGTCATTCATTAAATTGTTTATTTTTGAATATATTCTTAACYTTTAAGCTAAGAATAAAACTATCATGGCTAAGATGAAAAAGCAGATAGCAAAATGTAGGGTAATTCTACRTCATTAGTCAGGTTTTGCCTCTCCAAAGGCATCAGTTAAGAGATAAAATTATAATTTTATTTTTTGCCAAAAATACACAGACATTAATATGAGTCTAAGAATTTTAGGAAGAAATAAGCAGTAAAATTTGGTGAAGAGTTTAGCACTCTGTCCTCTTTTGGCCTCAACAATCTTGTTGAGCAGGGAATGAATCTCGTCAAAGCAGGTGGGATGTCAGAGCTGTGATWTTCAATTTGATATTGAAAGTGTGGCTGGAAATGTGTTCCCGAAGCTCACTGAGTGCTAAAAGAGCAGCCTCCTGTGGGGCAGGAACGTTGTGTAACCTTCTGGTGAAAAGTTCACYGTGGAAATCCAGCACAGCTCGCACTAGACGGGCAAAATTTCTATTGAGRGTTTTTAATGGAGACTCAGCATCCCCTTCTTCATGAGAACCTCAAGTTTTTTGGGATGCAGAGCTCCTGGTTGTGTTTTTGAGGCAAAGACATCCAGATGTTTGTCTGCAGCTGCTGAAGGCACCACGGAGGCAGCAGAGCAGCAAACATTGGTGAAATTAAACAGCTCTCAAGGTGGAAATGCTGCAAGGATCACCAGCAGCTTCCTCCTGCCAGCTAATCCCATTTTATGAAACTGATTCCAAGACTTTCAAGCTTTAATTTGGACGCCTTTGGTTTTTACAAATTAAGTAATTTATAAAGCAGACTATTGAAGAGAACAGCTAAGCATGGGGAGTAAAGTCTAAAGTAGAGTTTCCTACACAACAGAGTTAAGCAATCAAATTAGCCAGTCTTCATTTTTAAGATTTCAATAAATTTAAAACTTGCTGAAATTGAATTAATTTACATTAAGGTAGAAATCATATCTTCTTATGAAAAATCTGAGCAGATCCAGCGAGAGGAGGTCACTCAGGGCCTCATCCAGTCAAGATTGGATCACCTCCAAGTCAGAGATTCCACAGCTTTGCCAGCCTGTTCCAGTGTTTTATAGTCCTTGTGGTAAAATTGAAAAAAATTCCTTACCAGAGTCTCTTGTTTCCTATCCTCCTGCTCCCAGGAAGAGTTTGTGTCCATCCATTCTTAACCTTGCAGTTTAGGTGGTTGTGGAGAGCATTATCACCTTAACTTTGTAGGGTTTTTAACTTTGAGGTTTCTCTTAAAAGTTTGGGAGGCAATGTTTGTGTGGCCCACTTTATCTGAAGATCTCCATCAGCATTCAGGAATCTGGAAAATGCCTTTTCTGAACAAAACATTCTTGGTTCTTGCTGGGGGCTCTAAACTTTGGGGCTGACAGCACGAGGTGATGCAGAAWTATTGAAAGTCTAATACATCAGGAGGACAATGGACCAAATTAGATTAGTTAGATTAATTAGATTTCAAACCCTGATGGATAACTGTGCTGTGTGAAGCTCTGACCTCACTGCTGAGGGAAACACACGAGCCATGGAGCCTTGCTGGGGTTTGGGGTGAGCTCAGCTCAAGATCCCGCTCTGGCTGTCCTTTTCCATCTTGTCAGTCACCTCCTTGAAGCAGAATTCTTAATTACAAAGCTCTTGTTCATTCACTAAACTCATTTTTTCTCCATAAATTGGCAGTATGAGCACTGGCTCCAGTCTTTTCTGAGTTAGGCTATGGCTTCGTTTTTACTGAATCAGGAACTCTTTGGAAATGGGGGCATTTCAGTTTCAAAACTACTCCTGCTCATGTTTTCCATTTCAGTACTCCTTTTATGTCACTTGTAATAAAAAGAGGTCATGTTAAATATTTACAATACTGAAAAGGCACAAGGTTTTCTGCTGATACTCAGAGTTGAACTCTGTTCACAAACTTGAGAATAAAAAAAAACATTAAGTGAGAAAACCAGGCTATTTATAACCGTCTTGATATAGATTTGTTAAACTTAGATTTGCAAATGTGAATTGACCMTAGTTCCTTTCAGTCTGTTCAAATGTTATGGACCTTAGACTGGAGTAAACACACTTTTAATTATCATGCAAATGTCATGTCTCCATCCTATTTATTAGGAAATATTAATTATCCTTTTTGCTCTTTTTTTCCCAGGGAATGTATATCAAATCAACATATGATGGACTACATGTAATCACAGGAACAACTGAAAATGTAAGATTCTTTATTGTGGGTGAAATACTTTTATCATACTTACAATTATTTTCTTTGTACCTGCAGTGCATTTTCCAATATGCAAGCTTGCCCCAAATCAAGCCACTTTTTATTAATATTTTTTCTTTTTTTATGTATATCTATCATATTACCTTTGTAAAGACTTGAAAATAGACATTGACATAGAAAATAGACTCAGAAAAGCAGCTGTGTTGAAATTATTAACAACTAGCAATATAACCAAACTAAATTTTAAAACTTCTGCCCTTAATAATTCCTCAAATCCACCTTTCTAACAACATTCACACACATTTTCTCTGTGGCAAAAGAGATTTTCTTTAAATTAAATAAATTGCATTTTTTGTTTTCCATCGTTTATAGTAAAAATGCAGAAGAGATCAATTATAATTTTTATTGTTGACTTAGTAGTATTAGAAAAGTGGAACYAAAATCACCCAGAGCTGCTGCAGCACAAAGATCTGGGGCAGTAAAGAGCGTGACAGGAGCAACAGCACAGCTTCTAAACACCCTCCTTGTTACTTAACATGCAGTTTGTAATTATAAATTGGAAAAAATTAAATTGACTTCAACTGCTGCAATCTAATTACCGTGACAGACTTCATATTAAAACCCTTCTGGTTTTCATCTTGTCTTTTAGTCACACTGTTCCCACCCAAGCTCGGGTTCGTTCAGCAGCTCAGAGCTGGGCAAATGACAAGTTCAGATTTTATAAAGCTGATATTGAAATTGTGGATTGCTGCCACCCAAGGAACGTAAAACGAGCTCTGTGAGATGTAAATCCTGACTGGAATTTGCCAGGGCTCTGCTGCTCCATATTGGTGAGCTCCATGGGGGATGTTWTAATTGATTTTTATATATTGAGTAGTATTTGTATGGGTTTTGTCAGTGCAAACCCATGGAAAGCCAGATGATTTGTGTGTCACAATTTGGGAAGACAATTCTAATGCAAATTAAACTYGAAATTTGTTTGCTTATATTGTCACCATTGGCAGCATTCAGAAGTCTAAAAATAACTGTATGTGTATCTTGGGTCCTGAAAATTATGACTGATCCATCTTGATTATGTTGGACAGATTATGTTCATAGATTTAATTACTCATGCTGTAATTAATCCACTTTTTTASTGTAATTCTAATTCATTTCAGAAATATAATGCAGTTTGTAGGGGAAATATTGATATATTTACAACTGAAATTCACAGGAGGAGTTAATAAATTGCCASCTACTAGAATTTTCATTTTTTATTTTGACTATCAAAACTTTTTGCCATGACACCACYAGAAGAAGCTGCTTTTTTGGTGTTGCTAAAAGTGTAACCACATGTGCAGATAAACCAGCTTCAAAGACCTTTAACTTCTGGTGTTTCAGCAAATTGATTTTTCATTCCTTTTGAAGGGATAATTGACCTCAGAGCCAGTGTTTAATTAGCTCAGCCTCATCCGAGTCAGGAAAGGAGCTAAAAAGAGAAAGCATCAGGTTTTCTCTTCTCCAAATAACGTCAGCTGAAATTAAACATTATCAATGGTGGTGTTCACTGCAGTTTCCTGCTTTCCTCTCCTTCTCARTTTAAAGCCAAAGAGTTTGTATTCATGTAGAATTCCAAGAGTGTTTCTGTTATGTGTTTGCTCCCAGGAAAAGGAGCAGCCTGCTAAAATTTCCCAAGTTCCCATGAAAAGGAGAAAGTGGCTCTGGGGCCAGGTAGTTCTTTTCATCATCCCTTAAAGTGTGTGGGTAAAATCCTGTTTTTTAATCAGACCAAAGTCCTTGTTAAAGATCAAAAGGKTGAGGAGCTGGAATGAGGCTGGTGTTGGGCAGGGAAAGGCTGGGAATGACAAACCAGCAGCAGGCAAAAGGGAAAARCCCTGCTTGGAATAGCCCTAATCCCACTTGGAATAGCC